CCACGCTGCTAACAGGACCACGCTGCTAACGGAACCACGCTGCTAACGGAACCACGTTGCTAACAGGACCACGCTGCTAACAGAACCACTCTGCTAACAGTGTCATGCTGCTAACAGAACCACTCTGCTAACAGTGTCATGCTGCTAACAGGACCACACTGCTAACAGGACCACACTGCTAACAGGACCACGCTGCTAACAGAACCACGCTGCTAACAGGACCACGCAGCTAACAGGACAAAAAAAATGACATTTTGCTGTTGTTGGATGTAACTGGAACCCCGTGTACACAATTTCATTCCACCTCATGTACCACATGTGATGTGAATGACTGTAAAGATCCTTGAACTACACACCTGTTTCATTGTTGTCCACGGTCGAAGGTGGTGAGTCTGTTATCAAAGTATCTCATGGACCACTGGACGATGTTAATTCAGCTCTTAAACTGTAAATGAACAAACTTCAGGAAACAAAGTAACAGTCAGTTTTACAGATCTTGATCTGAAATTTGACTGTGGTAGTAGCCCATGGTCATCCCCAACATTTAGTCCGAGCACTAACTGAATGAACTGATTTACATGGTTGGACCAAATTTGTTGTGGACAAAAAAAAAAGAAGGAGACAGAACTGGAAGTGTCAGAAATGAAGATGTTGAGGTTCTCCTTAGGAGAGACAAGGATGGAGAAGATCAGGAATGAGATCATCAGAGGTACAGCACAGGTTGAAGAACTGGGAGATGAAGTTAGAGAGGACACACTGAGATGGTTTGGACATGTCCAGAGGAGGGACAGTGGTTTGGACATGTCCAGAGGAGGGACAGTGGTTTGGACATGTCCAGAGGAGGGACAGTGGTTTGAACATGTCCAGAGGAGGGACAGTGGTTTGAACAGTCCAGAGGAGGGACAGTGGGTATATTGTTTGAGAGGACATGGAGGTAGTTGGAGTGAGGACAGAGGACACAGAGGACAGAGTGAGATGGAAGACTCAATGAGGAGACACTGAAGGAACAGACAAAAGCAGAAAGTCAAAATGGCTGGGGTGGAAGACGGCGGGCGACAGGCATTGAAGGCGGTGTTAGGCCTTTAACTGTAATGAGCTTCAGATGAGCTCATTTTTCACAAACACGCTTGTGTGTGTGCGTGTGTGTGTGCGTGCGTGTGTCCAGCACCACAGTGTGGTCCTTGTTGAGGACAGCCCGTCACGTGCTCACCTTCCAGCCTGCAGAGCTGTTGCTGTCTCCTTTGTCCTTGAAGTACGGCACGGACCGGACCATCCAGTCGTAGATCTGGGACAGGGTCAGCCTCTGGTCCGCGGAGCTCTCGATGGCCTGCGTGATCAGGTCCGCGTACGAGTAGTTGCCCCACGCGTTCCTGCGGGAGGACGACTTCCTCAGCTGCTGGGGGGCGGAGGCGCCCTGGGCCGCGCCGGGGGGCAGCGCGGAGGAGGACGGGGAGCCGTCGGAGGCCTCCTCCCTGCAGGGTCCGCGCAGGACCTCCACGGGCTGGGACACGCACGGCTCCGTCCGCGCAGAGGAGCCGCCGGCCGCCTGCGCGCCGCCGCTGTCCGCGCTCCCGCCCTCGTCGTCCTCCTCTTCGGGGATCGCGTCCGTGTCCCCGGGCTTCCCCCCACCGGACTCCGGACGGGGCAGGGGCCAGGTGCAGGACCGCGGCCGCTTCTGGGGCTCGAAGTCCGGATCTATGTCGACGTTGGGGGGCGAGCCGCCCCCGGGGCGCGGAGCCTCCGCCATGGAGCTGAACATTAAATCATCCAGGTCCGTCAGCGCGTGCACCCTTCAGTTTATTAATAGGCAGCCTGCAGCCCGGTCCCAGCGCGCGTCCGTCCGTCGGTCCGCAGCAAGCACAGAACCGTGTCCTGTCGTCGCGCACGGCAGCCCACACCCTCACCAACACGCGCTGGAGCTGGACTAAACGTGGAGTCTTAAAGGGATCCAAACGGCGTTCCCTCACATGCGCGCGCGTCCCGGACCTCGGTCCTAGATTTAAAAACCTGGCTCCATCACTGCGCGCGCAGCTGCCATCTTGACCATCTTCTCCCCCAGAACAAGTCTCTAATCCGCCGCAGCGCCCGCGCGGCCAGCTGCTCTCCAGACGCACCGAGGCGGAGACGAGCAGGGGGGCTCCTCCGAACCGGGCCGAACCGGACGCTCGAACCCGCCCTACGCAGAGCCGAGGAGTCCTGACGTGAAGCAGCCCGGCATGTTGAGCCAGGCAGCGCGCGCTCCGCGGCCAGCGGCTTCATCCAGGCTGCAGCTGCGGCGCAGGCTGACCCCAACTAGAACACACAAAAAGCTGCGAGCCAGAGAAGAAAAGCGCTCGTGCCCCCACCCCCCGCGCGCGCTGAAATTAAAGGGACAGTGCGGAGAAATCCGCTGGACGGTGACGTCATCTTTAAATTCACCACCGGCCTCTAACAAAAAGGAACTCTGTCCCTAAAGTTATATTTTTATCTGATAAAGCACCTCCAACTAAATACAATTTATGAATTTGTCAAACAGTTCTTACATTATTTAATGTTTGTTTTCCCCCATGTCTGTTAGCAAAATATCTGACCCAGTGGGGTTAATTAAACTTTCTTTTAGCTTAACCCTATCCAAGATGGCCACCACAGCCGAGTGACCTTATCCAACACAAGCGCAGCTCTGACGCAGTTTGACGTGTATGGAGCTAAATTAGGTGTGGTGGTAGCTGAGAGTCATCCCATCTCTGCCATAGAGCGGCCATCTGTACCTTTAATCATGAACTGGTTGAACTGGGACTGGTTCTGCATCAAAGGAAAAGGGGCAGGTGGTTGAGCATTAATAACATGAACCAGAGAAGAAACATCTGATTCAGAGGAACTTCGTGTTTTTCAGTGCCTTCAGAAACTCTAGGATCTTTGGGTCTGTGGTGAAGAGTGCAGGTTTCTCCACAGCTGTCTGTGTGACGGTGCGGCAGCGTCCGAGCAGCGCCTGAAAAACACGAACCAGCTTGGTGTCTGCAGCCCTAAGAGCCGACTGCGCAAAGAAGGACAAAACATACCTGCACGATTGTCTACATCCTCCACTTCAGCCTAAGGACTCGGATCCAGGAGATAACTAAACCTTTCTCCCCTTGGCAGAGCGAAAAAGAGGAATTGGAAACAGTCTGTCCGTTCATGGTGCGAGCACGACAACTGGTGAGGTACCGACGTCCATTAGTGTGCGACTGCATTTAGGCACAAGGCTCCTGTCGAAGAAGGGTTTGATGGCCACTATGTATAAAATGTAAACCATCATCCATCTTTACCATTTGAGGAAACTATGGTTTCTAGATTTTAACTATCTTAAACATGTAGTTCCTGTTCCTTCACATGATTGTAGTGGCTGAAGAGTAACCTCTGCTGCAGAGTCCCCTTACAGTCTCCACTCTCCCTCAGGTTTCTTCTTCTACAGAGTCGACCTGCGTACTCCTTCCTCCACTCTTACAGGTCACTCTCTGTTCCTCCCTCTTTTGGAAATATGTGTCGACTACAGCCATTTCCATGCTCTTTATAAAATCCACCACCATCTGTCCTTCCTGTTTCTTTCCTTGACACCAAACCTCCCCATCACTTCCTCTTCTCTGTTTCCTTCACCAACATGTCCATTCAGGTCTGCTCCCATCACCACTCTCTCCTCTCTGGGAATACTCTCCATCACTTCATCCAGATCTTTACAAAATCTATCTTTCTCCTTCACATCACATCCAACCTGTGGAGCATAACTCGACAACATTTAGCATCAGACCTTCTACCTTCAGACACATCACCCCATCTGACACTCTTTTCACCTCTACTACATTCTTTGCCAACTCCTCCTTCAGGACCACCCCTACTCCATTTCTCTTTCTATCCACACCATGGTAAAACAGTTTGAACCCTGCTCCAGTGCTGCGAGTCTTGCTGCCCTTCCACTTGGTCTCTTGGACACACAAAACATCTACCTTCCTTCTCAGCATCATGCATCATTTAGAGTGTCCACTCTCAGTCCTACATTCTTGACTTTCCTCTTCTCCCTCGGTCTCCTGACACTTTCCAGCTTGGATTGTTGGCAGCTATCCGGTGGCATCACAAAGCCAACATTAGGAACCCAAACTCGTTTACAGCAAATCCAAGTTATTAACAGCAAACCAGGTTAAACGTCTTATATGTTGTTTTTTTTATTGTCTTACCGCTACAACTTAAAACCGAGGTCCAGTCAGAAGTGAGTTGGTCTTCTGGCTTAAAACAATAGACTGAACATTTACACTGCTCATCTCCAACCCAACTGTAAAACGTGTAAAAACCTGTATATTCATAGAAAACGTCTCCGATCTTTGAGTTCAGCTCATGAAAGACGGGAGCGAAGTGTTTTTTTGTTCGGTGTACACTTGTCTGTCCTGTGAGCTGAACACCTTGAAAAAAAGGCAACAAACCAACTTCCTGTTCGCTGCGTAAGCAAAATAAGTCACTATTGAAAACTGGGTTGCCAGTCATGTCAAAATCTAAGACTTTGTGGCCACATTAAGGCTGTGAATACTTACAATGTGAATTCTTAGTTTTCTATTTTTAATAAATTTGCAACAATTAAAAAAATATATTTCCACATTGTCATAATGAAGTATTGTGCGTAGAATATTGAGGAAAGAGATTAATACAGTTTGGAATAAAGCTGCAACAACAAAATGTGGAAACCGTGACGCGCTGTGAATACTTTGCAGATGAACGGTTATGTCACGGTTTAGACGAGACAACATTTTGTTTCTTCATTACTTGTAAGCCATAACCATAAAAATGGCAAGAAAGAAAAGCTTTCAATATTTTGTTCTATATGCACAGTCTGCACACGAGTTTCTTTCTGAAATGAGAGACAAATATTGAACTTTTTCACGATATTCTAATTTTTTGAGGTGGTGGCCATCTTGGATTTCAATGTGACGACCCAATTTTGAGAGGAAACTTTTTTACACATAAGATGCAACAAATGGAAATTGGTAACTCACTTTGCAAGTCGTCATGCACACGACACGCACAGATGGACTTAGAAATTGGAGGTCACATGGAAGGTGTTTCCAATTCCTCTTCTTCGCTCCAAGACGGGGGACAAAACAAGTTTTTTATTTTATTTTACCAAGAGCCGCATCCTGTTTGTTGTGGTCCTTGGTGAAATAAAAATAGAAAAACTTGGGATACTTCTGGTCCGTTTGTTTAAAATGAGGGAACAGGATGTAAAACTTGCACTGGAACCAGATGACAGGGAAGGTTGGTCCTGTTCCAGCGTTGACTTCTGGGTTCACATCAGAGGTCTATGGGTGCACCATCTCCCTTAGAGACAGGGTGAGAAGTTCAGTTATCAGGAGAAACTCAGAGTAGAACCACTGCTCCTCCATGTCGAGGAGCCAGTTCAGGCGTCTGGTAAGGATGCTCCCTGGGTGCCTCGGGCATGTGCGACTGGGAGGAGACCCCAGGGAAGACCCAGGACACGCTGGAGAGACTATGTCTCTCGGTTGGTCTGGGAACACCTTGGAGTCCTCCCAGAAGAGCTGGAAGAGGCTGTGGAGAGAGATGTCTGCTCCAGATGCTGCCCCTGAGACCTGACTTGAAAAAAGTGGACAACAGATGGGTGTGTGCCATTTAGAAAATCAGCAGCAACAAAAAATACATCCATTTTTCTTTACCGGGCCAGGAGGCGGCTGGTTCACGTCTCCTGCCATCACTGTGCGAGAGACGAGGAACAGCTTCACCAGGTAGCACGTCCAAAAACAAAAACATAAAATTAAACAAGAATAAACTTAAATAAATGGCCGTTACCTCAGACACGCTGAACCGCTCATCCCGACGTTCGACACACGAGCACAAAGTGTTCAGAGCGGTGGTTCTTAACTGGTACCAGCACCACGTGTGGTCAGGGTTCCTTCAGTGGTAATCAGAAGAGTTTAACATGAACTAGTCTCCAGTTTAATGATCTGAACAGTGAGGGAACGCTAAGACGCAGAGCCCAAAGTATGAGCGGGTCAGAGTTCAACCTCCGCTCCAAACAACATGATAAAAGAGTTAAAATGATAAAGCGACATGGAGAACATTGAGAGCCCGTGTGGAAGTGTAGAATGAACGATGGAGATCTTAAACCTCCGGTGTGACAGGCGGTGGTGCGTTTCTAACCCTGGCCGTGAGACGGTTTCAGGATTAAACCAAGGTCAACTCTTAACTTCTCTGGATTTTCTTCTGGTGTTTGTAACATTTAACATCCAAACAACGTCTGGGTCTGACTGAACCATCTGGTTGTACCACAAACACTTTGTACAGGAAATGTTTTCTCACTTTCACTTCCCACACGTTGCTCACTTTGTTTTTAATTATTTAGATGAGACTTCTTTAAACAATTATAAACAAGTGTTCAGAAGGATATATGAAAGTATGCGCTTCAAGTGCTAGAAAAGATGCTCAGAAATTTACAGCGGATGTGTGTTTACTTGTTTACTCCCTTTTCACCAGACAAATAAAGGCAGATGAATGCAGTCAGTTCATAAAATTAGATTATGAAGCTTTTTAAATCCTCACTGACGGTGTTTTTCTAAAACATGTTCAGTTTTTCCAGGAAAATTAAATATTAAACTTGAACCTAAGTAAGACATTGGATTGAAATCAATTTGACACTCCAAAGGTTCATTTAAAAATTATCTATAAAGTGCAATAAAATTATAAAAGCTAATTAAATATAAATACTGTTCGCCGCGTGCACTCATTATTAAACAGTCCCGTCGGCGATGTGCAGAGTTTGCAGCATCCGTTTGGCAGCTTGACTTTACGGAGTAGTGTCTTTGAAAGTGCTACACTTGTTTTAAGCTTCTGTCCCCGTCCAGCCAGTATTCTTCTGTCTGCATCTCTGTGAGGCGGGAAACTGTCCTCTGGAAGGCAAACTTCTCTTCCTCGCCGCTGAAGATGGACAGGCTGCTGGCCTCTTCCTGTCGAGGAGAAAACGCCGGCGTTCATCAGGTGGTTTTCTTCATCGTGTTGTGCAACAGCTCAGAAAAATACACAAGTCAAATGGTTCAAAATGTCCTGATGCTCCAGTAGAAACAACCAACAAGGTTCAGTCAGGTCCTCTGGACGGGTTCTTCTTGTTGAAACGTTTCGTGTTTTGTCCAAAGGACTTCTTCAGTCTGAGGAGCTGCAACAGACTCAGTCTTATAAACATCACCTTCTCATGGTGGATCAACCAGTTTGACTTTGACATCCAGAACCAGCTGTTCACGTGTTAAAGGAGGACCATCAGCTTAATAATAGACTGTGAATAGCAAGCAGCCATCAGAGCACTGACAGGGGGCTGAGTGATACTAGCAACAACAGCATTGTAGGAGGGGGACAGTTGGACACGGAGGCTCCGCCCCTTTAATGATGGACGTTTCTCTTCACAAAGATGGCCTCCTTCACTCCTCTCTCAAACGTTCCTCTCTATCCAGGATGTGAACATCTTCATCCCTGAAAGAGTGACCGCTGGGCCCAGCACAGAGGATCAACATGATCAGGCCAGGACTCTGGTCTACACTCATCTCCAGGCCAGAGGTCACTCGTTCAGGGATGAAGATGTTCACATCCTGGATATCCTTGATTGAGAGAGGAGAGAAGGAGGCCATCTTGGTGAAAAGAACCTGTCCATCATTAATCAGGGGCGGAGCCTCCGTGTTCAGCTGTCCCCCTCTTACAATGCTGTTATTGCTAGTATCACTCAGCCCCCTGTGAATAGCAAGCGGCCATCAGGGTGCTAACAATCAGTTGTTAGGATGCTGGTCCTCCTTTAACATGTGAACAGCTGGTTCTGGATGTCAACAACAAACTGGTTGATCCACCATGAGAAGGTGATATTTATAAGACTGAGTCTGTTGCAGCTCTTCAGACTGAAGAAGTCCTTTGGACAAAAGACGAAACGTTTCAACAAGAAGAACCCGTCCAGAGAACCTGACTTACCGGTAACCTTGTTAGACAAGTCATATTGGTTTTTAACATCACGTCTGCTGCAGTGACCATCTTTTTCCTGACTCAGCCATGTTGTTTTTGGTGCAAGATACTCAGTACAGTAGGTACAAGAGTTGTTTTTCTTTTTGCCTGTTCGAGGCAGCGCAGAGCGACGGACCCTGTGAGGCTCAAACAACTGGACTTACACTGAGATTAAATTACACACAAGTGCAGTTTGTTCACTACTTAGGTGACCTCTGAAGGCAGATGCTCTGAACTTTAGTGCCACGGTCTTGTAATCCTGAGGTTGCAGGTTTGAGCCCAGGTTGCAGGAAGGGCATCCGGCATATAATTGTCACATGTTTCATGAGAGTTCACTCGCTGTGGCAACTCAAAGAAGGAAGCAGCCAAAAGGAAGTTTCTCAAAATAAAGGCCTGCACACCACACTTTTTATTAGAGCCCGATCAATATATCAGTAGGGCTGATATTTTAGACAGATATGGACGTTTGGGGACATATTGGTATCTATGATAATTGCCCCATTATGCACCGATATAAGCACTTCTAATTTTCACCTTTAAGATGTTGTAACCAGTCGTAATTGTACAATGTACCCAGCAGAGGGCGCACGAAGACAACTTTCAAGTCATGGCCGTTCACTCAAGTTTCACTTTCAGCGCAGACGAAGCAGCGAGCAATACTGTGTAGAGTATTTTGTTGATTAGAGCATGGCAAGTTTACTTTAACTGATCTGCAAAATAAATCACCAATAATAAATTATCTTCAATCCTCCAACCTGCTTGTCATTAGCTACGTGCCTCTCAAGTTAACAAGCTAATGTTTAGATAACCTAGCATAGACTATTGCCTTGTAAAACTTTATCCAGAACAATAAATGTAACGTAGAGGTAAAATATATATCGGTGTTAACAATGAACAGGAAGAACGTTTCTTTGTTTAATTTATATTTTTGTAACACACTTAACTTTATGGTGAATAGTAGAGGATAGAAAATGCGAACGCATGTTAGGAAGACTGTTTTTATGACCAGTGCTCCACTTGTAAACCTGCTGTAGGTCTGCGTACAGCGTGGATCTGATTAGCTTAGCTTCATGGTTGCTAACATAAACAAGCCCCGCCCCACAAACTGTTTTTTTAGATTCTTGAGGGTAAACAAAGCCCAGAAATTATATCGGTTATTGGCGATCGCCTTCCCCGCTCAATATTGGTATCGGAGATAACCAAAATTTCCGCATCGGTTGGACTCTACTTTTTATAAATACTTCTAAAAAAATGTTGAATATCATTTTCCTTTCACTTCACAATCACTTTGTGTTGTTGCGTCACATAAAATCTCGGTAAAATCCTTTTTGAAGTTTGTGGATTTAATGTGACAAAATGTGCAAGAGGTCAAGAGTTATGAAAACTTTTTAAAGCAGAAGAGAAAACTGAGCCTGGCTGAAAAAACGTCTAAAATTTCCTGTAAGAAACTCGTGCACAGGTTCCAATGATGTACCAGGCTGAGTCAGCTGACCTATTTTCAGACGAGTGTTGGCTCCTCTGAGCGACAGCTGCTTTAATTATGGAGGTTTATCCCTGACGGCTCAGACTCCTTGTGCAGAAACGTAAAAACAGAGCTGCAACTCTCACCCGTTTCAGCCCCAGGTCATCCATCAGAATGTGGCTCTCATCGTGACTGTGATCCACGTCGTGTACAAAAATATCCTCCAACGGGTGATCTGCAAGAATCACCACACGCACCTGGACCGGGACAAGACTGCTTGTTTCTCTGTTGTACAGAAGGTTAAGAAGAGTGAAACGGCTGCAGCGCACCTTGTGCTCGTAGAGGGCGTCCACGAGCGTGATGAGCCGCCTGGCTTGGGATTTCTTGTTCAGCGTCAGCAGAGGAATGTGTCGGATGAAGACCGTGTCAAACAGACGGGAAATTTCCAGGTAATCGCTGGCGCCTAAAGGCTGAAAGGGTCAAAAGGAATAAGTTTTTATATCAAAGCAGCTAAGACTCATGCTCAACATATAACGAGTGCTAACAACTGTTGCAAGATCTCGATACAGAACGAGATCCAGAATAATGTTTAAAAAAAATACATCGCATTATATATTACATTATTATTGTTTAGTTTATATCTTACATCTTTGTATGCAGTTTCTTCTTTTTTATACTTTATATTATTGCTATATTTGGGTGTAACGGGGAACTTGAGTACACAACTTTGTTCCACCTCATGTACCACATGTGATGAAATGACAATAAAGAACCTTGAAAACTGGATGACTCCGCCCCTTCAAAGGTTAAAAATGAAAGGTTGCAGGTGATCTGAATTCCTTCAAGGATTGCTGAGGCTTTTACTACTTTTCATTCAACCGTTATTGACACAGCTTAGTCTCATTGAGCCTCGAGTTATTAACACAAAGAGAAGCAGAACACTAGCTGGAAGTGAAAAATGGCTAAAAGCTTAACTAAAAGCTAAAAGTAGAAAAGGCTGGCTAAAACCTAAACAGAGCAAAAGGCTAAGTAAAAGATGCAAAAATCTAGTTTAAAAGAGCAAAAAGGCTGTTTTAAAGTATCGAAAGAAACTACAAGTAGCAAAAGGTGAGCTAAAAATGGTAAAAGATTAGCTAAAAGCCACGAGTAACAAAAAACTAGCTCAAAATTTAAAAAAAGCAAAAAAGTGTTTAATGTATGCAAAGTTTTGCAAAAAAACTAATATCTCAAATTAAAACATTTGTAGCAAAAGCGTAGCTAAAAGCTAAAAGTAAAGACTAGTTCAAAGCTAACAGTGACAAAAAGCTAGCTAAATCTATCAGAAGGTTAACAAAAAGCTAAAAGCAACATGAGGCTAGCTAAAAGTTGGTTATGTCTAGCTAAAATGGCAAAGGGCTAGCTAGAAGTATCAAAAGGGTCAGTAAGGAAAAGTAGGAAAGGAGTAGCTCAAAGCTAAAAGTATCAAAAAGAAGCTAAGAGCAGAATAAGACTAGCCAAAAAGCTAAAAGTAGAAAAGACTGGTTCAAACCCTCAAAATAACAAAAGGCTAAAAAACAAAAAAAGAAGCAAAACCTGTTTGAAAATATCAAACGTATGCTATAAGTAGGAAAAACTTAGCTAGAAGTCAAGAGTAATCAAAACTAGCTCAAAATTAAAATGAGCAATGAGTCTAATTAGCAAAAGCTAAAATTTGCAAAAGGCTGGCTGAAAGCAGCAAAAAGTAGCTAAAAAGTAGCTAACGTGTTGCTCAAAGCTGAGAGACAAAAAGTTATTTAAAAGTATCAAAAGCAGACAAGAAACTAAAATCAGCAGAAGGTTGGAGAGGTCTGGCTAAAAGTTAAACACTAAACATTAGCTAAAAGCTAAAGGTAGCATAAGAAGACAAAAACAGAGCCAGTAGCTGAAGGAGAATTAAAAAATAACTGTTTTTAACAGAAGAGAGCTCCCAGTATTTCTATGGGGAAAATATTTGTGAAAATAAATATTTTGATAAAAATCCAATGAGCTAAAACCCTCTTCACTAACGGAGCAGAAAGTTTTGATATTTGAATGGTTCAAATATGAGTGCGTATGCAGAAGTATGGTAGTTAAACTCCAGAAGCTGAGTCAGCGTGCGCACGTTGGGACCTACTCGGTCACACAGCTCCTCAAACGTACAATCTGCGACGGTCCCACACGCTTTGCTCAGCCGGACTTTGCGGTTGTGAACATTTAAAACTCTTGGTCGCGTTACTGCAGACAAAGAAAGAAGAACTTAATCAAGTTCAATGATAGAAACGTCTAGAGATCAATAAAAATATTTAAACGTTCCTTACTGTCATTTTGTTTAAAAGCCAACTGGTCAAACATCGTATCTAGTGTTGCTTCTGCTTCAGGATCACTGGAGCTACAAAGACCACAGCAAATGTTCACAGCAGGAAATGTTTTACTAAAACAAGTGTTGGAGTTGCACCAAAACATCTCTTACAGGAAGTAGATTTTTCCAGCAGAGGGTCGATTTCTTTTCCGGTAGTCAATCCCCGAGTCGAGCCGAAGAGTTTGGCAATATTTCTGCCAAAGGACGAGCATTATTAGGTGCGTTTATTTAGTGGAGGAATAAATGTTTTCTCTTTTACCTGCAGCACTGCAATAAAAGGCACAAAGTTGACTCTCTGCAGTCCGTTTTTATACAAGTCTGACGGGAGATGAAACAGAAGATTTTTTTAATAAAACATCTACCTTCCTTCTCTGCATCATGCCAGCCTAACCCAGGACTTTGTGATGTAAATAAATAAAAACATGATAAATCATATCTAAATGTTTACAACCTTCACTGTGATGGATATTATGTCCAAATTAACTGGATAAAAAATTATGAAGGAAAAAAAATCTGGTTCTATAAGTCAACACACTGAACGTGATATTTTGTTGAAACATCCGATTTAATTTCAGCCTTGGCTCGTTGGTTGTACAACTACAACCGATTCAAGTCAATCCCAATAAAGATGGCCGCCACTGCTACCAAAATGGCAATACCTTTGGTATCGATATCGCTTTTATTGTTGAAAAATATAAATGTGTGTCTCTTTCCATTTGATAAAATTATAACCCAAATTCTAAATTAAATCGAGAATTTGTGTAAAGTGTAAATAAAAAAAAAAAACGATTTGTATATTACATAAACCCCATATTTAATCCACAGTGAAAAATATTATACATCTAAAATGTTTAAACTAAAAATAACACCCAATAGTTGGGGTTGAGCTTAAACAGGGTTTTATATCATTTCTGATTTAACATCTGGAGCCTGAGCCGTTTGGTTTAGAGAAAAGTTTGAAAAATAATATTTTAAAAGCATAATCACCTTCAGGGGGACGATTTGAAGTCGCCACGACAACGACGCCGTTTAGAAAGAGATTCTCAAAAAGCTGTTTTAGAATCATGGCGTCGGCGATGTCAGTCACCTGAAAGAGCATTAATGAAATCAGCTGCAGTCGCTGCGGAGGAGAAGTTCTCAGTTTCTTCAGAAGGTGCTTTAAATGACCTGAAACTCGTCAAAGCACAGCAGAGAGGCCTCCTCGCTGATCTCCTCAGCAACCGGAGCAATTGGGTCGTACGATTTGGCCATTTTTCCCGCCTTCCTTTTGGGCAGGCTCTGTTTCAGCCGATGGATCCCTGAAGGTTCAAAGTAAAAAAGGTTTAGCCTCGTTTGCGTCGGTAAGTACAAATATTACAAGATGCTCTAGAGAATTTTGTTTTTAAACATAAGAGAATGAGATTTTACTTTTCTTGATCCTTTCAGAACTAAAATCTTTCTGTTCAAAATTACTTGGCTCAAACCGTAAATAGATGACCAGTGATTACGTTCTGATGGTTTTATTAAAATCCTTTCAGTGATTTACGACATATTTTAATACCAGAAACAAAAACACACAGACAGACTTGAGCAAAATAAACTTTCTTCACATTTGCTTTCAGCAGAGTCTGCACAGCTCTGGTCTGGTGAAATGAGAACATGGAGATGTGACTTTATCTAAAATCCACTTTCTGCTGATGCACGAGCGTCTGAAGCTTCAAGCATTCTGAACAAAACTAAATTATTCATGGATTCTCCTGCGTCTTGGGTCGGTTCACCCTCATCCGCCCCCAAAAGCAAACAAAACCCCTGCAAGTGGTACACTGATGTCCCCCGTCATGGTGGGACTCGAGTAGTGAATGTTTGTAGTTTTGGAGAGGAGTGTTTTTCTAGACTGGAATTGAACAGGGAATGTGAGTAAACCCTAATGGTTGTGGAGCAAGATATTCAAGTGGGTAGAAGTTACACTGCGGAGAAGAAGTGGGGTAATTATTATTTTTTTGGCTTGTCCAAGACAGCACAAAGTGACAAATCCAGTATTATACATTAAAAAAGTATATATACATACTGTAGAAAGCTGGGAAAGACACGGTGATCCACTTATGTGGAAGAATTTTATCTATGTTGGAGAGATAGCCTGCTATTTTATAAAAAGCTCTCCATAAAGCTAGAACTGTATATTATTCATCTTTAATAGAGGAAAATAAAAACAACCCCAGGTTTCTGTTCAGTACTATTGCTACACTAAAAGTCCATCTTTGTTGAACCATGTATCCCTACAACTATAAGCAGTGATGAAATCTTGAGGATACTTATAAATAAAATTATTTCAATTAGAGAGAAAATTCAAACCATCCTTCCTACTATCGCCTCTGGTTCTCTGTCAGATGAACTTTAGAAATGTCACTAGAACCTGATTTATGTTCGGACTGTTTTTGTCCTGTTGAGCTCTCTGACTTGTCAATAACATCATCCAAACCATCCACATGCCTGCTAGATCCCATCCCAACCAGACTGTTTAAAGAGGTATTTCCCCTAATTAAGATCCACATTTTGGATCTGCTTTATTTGTCTCTAATGAATGTTTACGCACAACAGAGCTTTAAGAATGCTGTAATTAAACCTTTATTTAAACATAACATTGATTCAGGAATCCTAGCCAATTATAGACCTATAATCTAAATTTCATCTAAAAAAAATCTAGAGAAAATAGTTGCAGGTCAGTTGCGTGAACATCTGAACACAAATAATCTGAAGAGTTTCAGGCAGGGTTTAGAGCTCATCATAGCACAGAAACAGCACTAGTAAAAGTCACTAACGATATTCTCATGGCCTCAGACAATGGACTTGTGTCTATACTGGTCCTGTTAGACCTCAGTGCTGCATTTGATACAGTTGATCACAATATTTTACTACAGAGACTTGAATATGATATTGGAATTACAGAAACGACTCTAAAATGGTTCAAATCATATTTATTTGATATATTAAGAGTTTGTAAATGTAAATAATGAATCTTCATCATACACCAAAATTGGTCATGGGGTTCCTCAGGGTTCAGTGTTTGGACAAATACTCTTTACTTTATATATGCTCCAATTAGGTAAAATTATTAAACAGCAGGAGATACATGTTCATTGTTATGCTGATGATACACAGTTATATTTGTCCATTAAACCCAATGAATCCAATCAGCTACACTCCAGGTGTCTCTTGTAAATGAGTCCCCGAGGCTCAATGGGACTAACCTGTATAAACAACGGTTGAAAAAAACAAGCTCTTCTTAAAAACATAAAAACCTGGATGACCCTTAATTTTCTACCTTTAAACATAGACAACACTGAGGTTGGGATTTTTGGACCCGAGCATCTAAGAATAAACTTTGCAGCCTTTCACTTCCTCTGGACGGCATTAATTTGGCCTCCAGTTCCAACATTAGTTCTTTAAAATACTGCTTTACAAAAATAAAGAATAAAATATCTACTCACTTTTATGCACATCCAACATAAAGCCATGGAAGTGAACCCTCTTTTTCTTTTCCATCTCCACATAAGAATAAAACATGTCCATCACCATAGTTTTGCCCGTGCCTGAGTGCAGGAACATCGTTATAGTTGTATGACAACATGAAACTCGTTACATTCAGACGTGTGACTTGTTTCTCTCACCGACATCACCGTAGATGTAGTATCCTCTGGGGGCCTTTGGTGAACTGAAAAACTAAAAAGATGAAAAAAAGATTTAATTTAACAAAAAGGGTCTTGGGAGTTTTATTTGGACAAATACTGTAACTCTAAAGTTTGATCATATTTGAAGACTTGTTATTTTAAATTTACACGGTTTGCCTGAAAAGTTCATTTATAGTAACAAGGACTAGAAAATCTTAAAAGAAATTCTGAAGGCTGTCGAAGCAGCATCCGCCAATAATTTCAAGAGTATTCCTTTAAAGCCAGCGGTTCATTATGGTTACTATGGAAACCACAGGCTTCCATCTATCACTCCCTGAGAGGGAAGTTAACAAGAGGCAGACAAACAGACCAACTGAAAGTTGTCTGGCAGTGAGACACACGGGGTTAAAGACGACAACAATACACACATTTTGATGTAAAACTGAGATTTGTACCAAAACAAGCAGTGCACCGATGTCCCCCGTCACTGAGGGGTTTGAAGAGTGAATGTTTGTAGTTTTGGAGATGAGTGTTTTTCTGCAATGGTAGCCATGTTTCCTACATTTCCAGGGATCTGACATGGAACATCGAAGTATTACCACAAAGGTTGTGTTTTGCTTAAAATGACAAATTCAACTAGAAAAATTAGATTTCCTGCAAAAATACCGTGTGAACGCTTATTGCTGAATGATTTTGCTGAAAACTGCTGAACAAGCTAAAGCTTAATTGAAAACAGATAGATGAAAGGTCAAAAGAAGAAGATGAAAGGAGCGCAAAAAGCTGAAAACAGAAAACTGAAGAAAATACAAAAAAAATAAAAATTTGCAGGAAAAAAAAAAGAGCACAAAGAAGCTGAAATTAGTAGAAAGAAGGTAAATAAGCACAAACAGCTTAATTGGCTGAAAAGTAGCTGACAAAGGTTGAAATGAATGGAAAGAGCCTACGGGGACATGTTTGCTGAAATAAGAAGATTGAAATTAAAATTGAAATTAGCTGAAAAGTAACAGAAAAAAAGCTAAAAAATAGAAGAAGGGCAGGAAAAGCTGAAGTTTATTGGAACAAATAATTTTGGATTATGTCTACAGTTAAAATATTAATTTAGCCAAACTAAGCTCAAATAAGATGTCACATGAATGTGTTTCCATAAAGCCTTAGAAATTAAACTGACCGAGGGCCAAATATTTATGAATATATTTTTTATTATCATAAAACAGGTTCGTGACTTTGAAATTTGCTGACAGAAAATAGTCCCTCTGAACAGAAACTAACACGACAAATCACCTTAGCTTAAATAGAAATGTTACAATCACCCAAATTCAACAATAAACAAGCTGATGTCCCCCTAATGAATGTTTGTAGGTTCAGCGATGAATGTTTGTAGGTTCAGCGATGAATGTTTGTAGGTTCAGCGATGAATGTTTGTAGGTTCAGCGATGGATGTTTGTAGGTTCAGCGATGAACGTTTGTAGGGTCAGCGATGAATGTTTGTAGGGTCAGCGATGAACGTTTGTAGGGTCAGCGATGAATGTTTGTAGGGTCAGCGATGAATGCTTGTAGGTTCAGCGATGAATGTTTGTAGGTTCAGCGATGAATGTTTCTGTAGGTTCAGCGATGAATGTTTCTGTAGGTTCAGCGATGAATGTTTGTAGGTTCAGCGATGAATGTTTGTAGGTTCAGCGATGAATGTTTGTAGGTTCAGTAATGAATGTTTGTAGGTTCAGCGATGAACGTTTCTGTAGGTTCAGCGATGAACGTTT